GAGTAGGGGGTTAAGATTGCTGTATACAGTGGTACCTCGGGTCACGAATGATTCGGGTCGTGACCAATTCGGGTCGCGACCAGAGTCGCGGAACGAATTAAGTTCATGACCCGAGGTACCACTGTATACAGCAATCTTAACCCCCTACTCTCATTGTCATTTGCAAGCTTGGAAATGCCACACCCTAAATGAACAAACTGAACCACTCTTTGTTTCAAGTTCAATCATTTGATGGATATCTTGCCTGTAATAACTATTGTGCTCCATAAGCAAGTTATCAGACTAGTCTGATAGTTTCCTTGTCAGTTCTTTCTGTAATTAAGGCAAAACAATCCCTATAAAATCTAACTATGGTTCGAAATATATGGTTAAACATGTTACATCAATACTTGAAAATGAACAACATCTCAGCTTTTTGTCAAAATGTTCAATTTATTCCAGGATAAGTTGGGGGCGGGAATGACATATTTTAACAGATATTAATGCAAACTACTGTACAATATTCTTAATTTCAAATGCTAGCAAAATAATGCTTAGGATCATCCAAAACAGATTAGATCCTTACATGGGAAAAGAGATCCCAGATGTTCATGTTGGCTTTAGAAACAGCTGAGGAACATGAGACATTATTGTTGATTCACTCTGGGTAATTGAGAAAGCCAAAGAATAACAACAACTACAAAAAAAAATCAAGTTGTGCTTCATTGATTACAGAAAGGGCTCTGATTGTGTCAATCATGTCAAGTTGTGGAATGTGATCAGAAAAATGGGAATCCCAGAACATCTCATTGTCCTCATGAGAAACATATGTACAGATAATCCTCAGGTTATGACAGCAATTGGGACCGGACATTCCATAGCTAAGCAATGGGGTCGTAAAGCATGAAGTCACATGGTCACATCGCTTAGCAACAGCAGTCCCAGGAGTCCTGGTTGCCATTGTAACCCTAGTACATGGGTCGTTAAGCAGGAAGAGGTGGGAGTCCCAGGCAAGGAGAGCAGGGGAT